TTCATATTGCTCCGTTTGTTTCATTTTCATTCGCTGGAACATTGACAGCACAAACCACTGACCTCTACCTCCTGGACGGATCATCGACCATTCTCGCCCGTGATAACAGTTGAAGTGGGCTCGCACGCGCGGCGGCCATTTTACACTTCCAAGAGCGATACGTCTCACTATACGTTACGTACTAAAAGGCTATATTGTCTGACTGTTCATGAATATTCATGTTTTTGGTTACCTCGGCAAAATGCTTGCCTTTACTAAATGAAAAAAATTCGGTGGGGGTTGGATGAAATGGACATAATGAACATATCAGAACTGATCTATGATAATTCATGCTTCTTATCCTTCGTGTGCTTGACTTATAACCTTACAATCGCGTGGTAAATTGAATCCAAAGTTCGACTTGTTGCCTATACAATGTTGGTAACAAGCATAATTTTCTCGGATAGTACCAGAATGAAGTACGGAATGGCATTCTAATTTCCCCAAGAATCATTCATCAGCGGCCCATGTGTTTTTCCGAAATGCTATCTGAGAAAAGTCGGGTGAACTACCAATTTTCTCGTATCGATGTTTATGAATTCCATGGAAATGAAATTAAATGGAATCATGATAATTACTGAGAAGATAGTGTTGTTTAGTGAACACCGGGTATATTCCAATGTTGTCGAGACAAATTTCCATGAAAACCCGAGAAAATTTCTGCTTCATTAGGCCATTGTTTTACTTTATTGCTTGTCCTCCTTGCTTTGAAAATAGGAAGTTCTACATGATGAGAAGCATCAGGCGTACCGCAAGGCCCATCGTTCGGTCCCATTTAGCATCATATCTCATTCAGGTGACGTTACAGTGGCACGTGATTGTGAAGGGAAGATCGCAGAAACTAAGGTACGATAATCTGTTTTGTTCTTGAAGAGGAACTCAACTCTGATATGAAGTTGGATTAAGTAAAAGCAGAAAATGAAAAGAATAGGTCAGTGAAAGTTCAGCGAAATCAGATTGAAATGAAAAAAGTTAGGAATATTTTAATTCAAACATTCCCCCACAATTTTAGAAACTATTAATGATTTCCCAAGCTCCTTATTTTCAAATGAATGTTTAATTTGTGTAAGTCTGTTATTAAGACATAATAATACTGTTTTTACACTTGTTTTGCTTAACCCCGTAGGCCTACTTTGTTTCACCCCGTACTATCCTTAAACCCGTACTAACCTTTTTGCCTTTTCACACACATATTTTTAGTCCTGTACTAGACTACTGCCCTATCCGGAAAACTGACCCCAAGGGCGACCCCCCCCCCCCCCCCCGCCTTTGGCATCTACCCCTGGACACTTACCTCTCAAGGAAATCCCCCCAAGACAAAAAGCCTCAAGACAATTAAGTGTGCGTGGCTGAGGTATTTTAATTATCAACTACAGGGGTACCAAAATTGTGCAAGCGAGCGAAGTGACCAATTCAATTATTAGACTAAGCGAAAGAAATGTCGTCATCACATTGACCAATATTTGACCCGTGAGAAATGTTTGAAAAAAGATACAAAGAGATCACTTCATTATCTGAAATCGACGTGGCAGGGGGCAATGTTGTCAATTCGAAATTAACGAGGTGGGAGGGGGTGGAAGGAAAGAGCCTTCGGTTTAAAAATGTCAGAGGCAAAAATGCCAGAGGTATTATCACTTTCGTATAAGCCTGTATTTGTAGGTTTACATTTAGTGGGGTAATTGTCCAGGGAGGTAATTGTCCTGTGTGTAAATATCAGCAGTGATTGCCGGAATCTTTTTTCTCGGGGCAAATTGTCCTGACGAAATCGTCCAGGGGGAAGTCCAGGTTTGTCCTAACAAAATTAGAAAAGTATCACAACTCAGTTGTTTTGGAGAGGTTCCAATGAACAATTTTTTTTAAATCGCGTCTTTTAAACGTACCTGGCAGGAACTAATTCCTTGAGATGCTAGAGCACCTTAGTGGCAATTGGCAGCACAGCTAAAGCCGGGGTAATAATCTCCAAGGTTGGAAGCGCTTAGTGATTGTAATAAACGCTATATAAAAACTGAGTATTATTATTATTATTATTATTATTATCTTTCTTTCATTATAATTGTGTAAATCTTTACTGAATATCTGAAACCCTAAAATCCAGAAAATAATTCCGAGTAGGACACGTATTAACCTTTACCCAAGATACAACACACTTGAAAATGCCTATTTCGGCCAGCACGCCGAGCCGCGCCGCACTATAGCCCTTCTATTTAGTAAAAGCCGCTTTCTTTGGTCTAAAGGATAAAGAGTATGAAGAAAATAAATGACATAAAATTGCAACCTTGGATACGAAACTCATTTTCTCTTTATTTTCGGGGATTCTTTCCAGAAACAATTTTGTTTTGTTTTCTAATACTCTTACTTTTTCGTCCTTTAGCTGCTCTCTCTCAAGGAAATTCACAACCGAATGAGACATAATGTAGTCTTAAAAGTGCCCCCGAATGAGGAAGATACTACATTCAACGTAATAAACATCACACTTACACAGTCTGGGAAACTAGGGGTGTCTCGATCAATGTCATTCGTCATTAGATGCGAAGGTTTGTCTGACAATCTTTAATCCGTCCCAGCATTTTAAAAAAGAGGGATGGACTATTATTATATTTTCCTCTTTTTTTGACGAGCTTTACATGGTACATGATAAATATAATGAACGTTATTTTCGTCCATGTTATTTTTCCTTAACATTCTTAGCTCTGGTTGTTACTTTCATAATGAACGAAATTATCAGTTTCGTGTAAAGTATAAAGATATACCTGCGTAGGCTCACTATACAATTCTTTACTTACTAGCAATTAATTGGTAGACATTACATATTCACTGATATCTATACATAATTTTCAATCATTGGAATCGTTTTTCCCTGGACATTTATTTGGGACTATAACTGTCTTTTTTATTATAATGATTTTTTGTGTAATGTCTTAATGCTTTTACATTTTCTTTTAAAACTTGTTATCATCGTATACATGATTGCAGATGAAATCAAGATTCCTGAATTTACTCCAGTTATCCTGTAAGTATGTCGTTATCAATCTATTCACATTTTTTAGAAATAAATTAATGTTCGATTAAGGTGAATTATGATTCATTTTCTTTTCTAAGTTGAACTACAATTTTGTAAAGATATTTAGTGAGGCACAGCGTAATGGCTGAAACACAAGGTATTCATATTCTTGCAATGTTTTTTTTCTTCTCTTTTTTTACGAAATTAAAATGGAATTTAAAAGATTCTTAACATCTTATAAGGCCTAACCATGCAGGAAATGCATACATTTTAAGATGAAGAAACAGTTACAGGTATTTGTTTTACAGAGAAATCGAAGGAACTTCTCGAAATGACCTCCCTGATGTAGACGTCCAGAAAATCGCCGAAGAGCTTTCGATAGACGATTTTTATGACCTGGGAGTTGCACTTGGATTCCATATACAACAACTGGATGCATTCGAGTATAAGAGGCTCAACGACAGACAAGGGGCCATCTTCGAAATGTTGATAACATGGAAACAGAGACAACTACCACATCAAAATGTGAAGGAAGTGCTTCTTTCACTCCTGAAGTCTGAAGAAACAGAGGCAGATAATACGAAAATAGCAGGTTTAACTGTTCATTTGAATTTATCAGCAGATTCTTAACACTTTTAAGCATGCCAAACATAATCCGTGGTGACTCAAAACATATAGTACCTTTTGATTTAGTTATACGTACCTCTATTGTTGCTATGGAGGAAACACAGTTTGACGCCAGTGATGATCATTGACATCTTTAGTGTGGCGCAAAATGTTTCTGGAAACGAGTTCCACAAAGACGGAGCAATGGATGAAAAGGCGCGATCTCTATTTCACTTAAGATGAGCCCATTGGTTTTGTTTTAAAATGAACTGCAACGTATTATAAAAGCAGAAGAACAAAAAAGAAATCGACTTTAAAGAACATGATGTAACAAAAAGGACACAAAAATAAATATTATAATGTTAATATTTAATAATGATAACAACAAAAATTTAAAAAAACCATAACAATGAAGAAATGATATTTACATATTTATATTGATGATAATAATAATAATGATAAAAATAACAGTAATAATGATGATAGTAATAGTAATAGTAAAAACCATAGAGTGCGAAGATTTCATATTTCTAAAATACATTAACCAATTATGGAAAAAGTACATTGTGAAAAAACATATTCAAAATTATGTTTTCAAATATCTATTTGTACATTTTCTCATTTGTGGTTATGCAGACAAATCGAATCTAACTATATTTTGTTTTTGTTTTTTTATGTGCAACAATGACGTCCTTTGTATTTGGTCACCGTACTCCAGATATTACTCCAACCGGGTAAGAATATTTTTTGGCCACTAACCCTCACCGTAAATTTTCTAAACCAAATAAACCCAGAGCAAATGTCGCAGCGCCAAAAGTTAGAACATCAAGAAGGTACTAGATTATCAAAGAGGAAGTCCACCCTGATAATTAGCTGGTGTTAATAAAATCCGAAGCATTAGCGAAACAAATTAGTGAGAGCTTGAGCCTGAAATAGGACACAAATAATATCTCTTAAGTTGTCATCATTAGTAATATAAATATACTATTAGTGAAATAAATATAGTGAAGTATAAAGGTTAAAGGTTGACACAAAAGAACGCAAAATGAAGGTATACTTTCGGACTGCGGGTCAAGCGGATTACGTGTTTCATTGATTTAATTTTGAATGATGCATGGCTTCATTTGTTTATACATGTAAAATTATTGCTGGTCGAAGCAAGCGATCTATCCTACTGCATGACAAAAATCCGATTGACTGGATTACAGCTTTTTTGGAAAAGCAGTTCGCTAAACAAAAGTCAAAATAAACTTTAATTCTAGTATAATAAACATCCTTCCTTCTCAATATATTTAGTGACATTTCTGACCAATACTTGCTTAAATTGGCTCGACATATCAAGTCGAAGGACTTCATGGAGATTGGCACAAAGCTTGGATTCAGTCGGAATAAGCTTGAGAACTTCAAACACAAGACAATGCAGAATCGCAAAGACGCTAACATCCAAATGCTCTGCACGTGGAAGGCATCTCAAAAATCGGGTGCTAAAGCGACCGAGACGTTAAAGTGCATTTTTGAATCTGTCTCCTTGGCATCGGCTGAGAATACAGGCAACTGTTCGTCATTCATGAGTACGCCAATCCCTATTTATTCTATTCTTTTCTGTTGTAGAATAAAAGGACATTAACATTAACACAAATACTTCATGTTTACTACATTTTAGCAAAGTTATGTAGAGCTTTTATTTCTTGACTGTTATGTGCCATTAGTGTCTCGAAATAGGTTTACTGGAATTTATTCTTAATTATATTCTTAACCCTAACTTTTGCAATGCACAACACTGAAATACAAGTTGAACGGGATGCCAGTATGCCGTGAAACCATATTTATTATCCAGTTAGTTAATCTGATTATAAACCCGTAGGAAGTAACAGTGTGTTCACGTCCCTATGTTAGCAGAAAGGGTGAAGTCTTCTGTTGAGCCTACTGGTACAATAATTTGGGTTCAATGTGAATAAATGATTGAAAACAATAAAACAGTGTAGTTATCCCTTTTCTACTTCATTTTTTCCAGAGTATAAATCAGTAAACATTTTCTTCACGCTAAATGGACATTGACTAATTGTTAGCCTCGTTTTGATTGGTCAAGCCAATTTTCTTTAACATCATTTAGACGAAGAGTTTTCCCAGATGGAAGGGGGGAGGGGTGTCAAAGAATCATTGATATTGTGTGTATATGGGGGGGGGGGCATCTGCCCATTGCCCACATTTTCAAATCAAATCAAATCAATAACTTTAGGTTGCTATAACTGTGCACTGGAAAGGGATATAAGCCTCTCCTTTGCATAGGATAATTGTCCTTGTATATGGCCAACTTCCTAGAAAATGTCGAAAAAAGGCACCTTTCAATATTTCGAAGAAATACAAATCACACAAATCATGATTTGTACTTAAATTTGCAATGTTAATTGATCCCAATTCCTCTGAAATTGGTATCAAAATGTAGATAATTCAATTTCCTTTTACATGACACCAGACTCATCATGGTGTTTCAAGGTTTTCTTAAAGCATTATTAACAACAAAATGTTTGTGTCAAGAGGACCCTTTTTTGGACGCCCTCTCCGATTTAGGGATGTTCGTTACAATTTTTTTTTTTTTAATGTGAAATATTGTGTATTATGATCAAATCTTTTCGAATATTTCGCTTATAAGTAAAAGAACAACCATTGGACAGGCCCCATGAGTAATTAAACGAAACACGTAAATAAAAGAACCATTCTAAGGTCACGATAGCCTAATACAATGTACTTTATTGCTTGTAGACAAAGAAGAAGAAAAAGAAGACGAAGAACTGGAAGGAAATTCTACTTCACCGCCTGAACAAGCAACAGAGCAGAGCGAGTCTGTAGATCTTGAAGATATGTCGATCATCAGAAATTCAGTTTCGGGTATGTCACATTAGGTCTAAGGGTGGCCTTTCACAGTATAATGGCTGCCATAACGTATGTATAAAGTATGCTATTAAATACGATAACTAAAGTCTATCTATCTTTATATAGAGAAAGATTTAAACTTGTATATTGAGGCAACTCAAGAACAACAGAAAAAATGTCCACTTTACACATGTGGACTTTCTAGACAGGTTATACAACGCACGTTTCTCTTTTGAGGGGGAGACAATATGTATAGACACTATATACATGTGGCCTTTATAGGGGTGGCCATTAAAACAGGTTTGACTGTACATATATATATATATATATATAAAACATATTCTATTTCATAAATCATAGATGGAGATGGAACCAGTGAAGACTTCGACCTATGTGGAGGTTCACCTAGTACGGGCGAGCAGTGTAGCGTTGCTCTTCCGGTGAAGAGTCTGTCTTTGGCATGGGAACTGGGGAAAGCCCTTCGTCTGGATGATGACGTCATTGTTGGTTTCGTCGCACCTTCTGATTCTGCAGCAATGAACAGACTAGCATGGCAACTCCTCAACAAGTGGTGCAAATGTTTAGGAAGCCAGGAAAAGAAAGTACTGATGACAAAGCTTCTTCAAGATTACAACATCCAGGATTGCAATGCAGGTTTGATACAATTATGGCAATTTTTAAGCCGTACTACGGTAAAGTCTTTTCCCAATCACGTTTATAACTATCAGTAGAAATCACTTTGGATGGTATGTGTGATTTTACAGTGCGTATGTAGTATTAAGAGGTGAACAGGATGATGGAAAGCTGTAATTACTTTAAATATTAGAATTATAAGAATTCTTAGTCCATTTTAAGAGGGGGAATACGAAACGACACGGACAATCATGGCAATAAAAGACCAAATTACAATTTATTTTTTTATTTTCCCCAGGTCGTGATGAAATCTCCTCAAAGATTTGCACAACTCCAGATCTACTCGACCTCTCCCGGCGCCTTGATCTAGCAGGTTCTGACATCCTGCAGGCCATGATCACATCTGTGTTCATTCCACCAACTTCAATACGACGCATCGTTCTACAAATGCTTCAAGAATGGGTACGACACGGAGGAACAAGAAAGAGGCTTCTCGAAATTACAAAAGCTTTTCATTCTAATGACGCAGCAGACAAAATTGCAACAGGTAACATTGAACTTATCACAATTTCGTTCAAAGTCTTCCTTTTTGGGATTATTGAATTAATTTATTTCCATATTTCCTTACAAATAACAAAACATTATACATAGTAATTATTCAACGCATTAATTACATAATTCTAATTAGGAACAGAATATTAACATAAACAAAAGCAGAAATACAAAATAACATAATACTACACGCAAATTAATGTCAATGTGGGGGATTATAACAAGAACATATAAAGAACACCCTGTGAATAAAATATTTGGCATATCCTGTCTAATTTCGACCACCTTCACATCAAGAATTTACGTAATCTTACTGCAGGTGTTTTTGAACCTTTTTTTAATGACTTATTCAACTTGTATGTACATGTAATTCTGGTAACGGTTACCCGTGTATTATCCGGACATGTCTTTCATCTGTTAATTGTGTCTCTGAATCATCTGTTGGTAGCAATGGAACATCACCCAGGTTTCCTGGACCCCTTCTCTCATGGCATCATTGATCACGACGGTGGAGAGCTGAAGCTAGATGAACTGAACATCAGAGTATCAATCCCTGCAGGAGCAATCCCAAAAGGGATGAGATCTGTGGTCACCCTAAGTGTACCTGGTCGTTGTTCATCTAAGATTCCACTTAAAGATGGAGACGTTCTCATTACTCCAGTCATTGAATGCTCTTTCACTAAAGAATTTCTCAAACCTGCGACTGTAGCTCTTCCACACTGCATCCATCCGGAACAACATCAAGATGACTTACGTGTTAGCCTTTACACCAAGTTAGGACCAGGTAGGCCTTTTATTCTTCTTCTCTGTTCTCTTTTGTACAAATTCTCGTTTGTTTTCTAAATGTGCAGAAGAAAAGGCTTAAATTTTAATTTCCAAACAATTCCAAATGATCCACCCTTGTTTATGAGCCACAGTACGAGGTAAAATTATTTAGTTATGTAAATAGTTTTTAGTAAATAAATCTCCTTAAACGTTTCTTAAATGATGGTGCATGATATGTCATTACATATATTCATATTATATGTTAGGGGCTGGCGTGTTTGTGATTTTACATGAATATTTTCCGTTTGGCTTTTGTAAAATTGACAAAGCTTTTTTTTCCTTCTCACTCTTCTTGCATTTGTCAAGATATATTTGGTTACAGGAGCTTACTTCCAAATACATCAAGAGACTTCCATATCTCGGAGGGCATAGTTGGTTTCTCTACGCGTCATCTTCAACTCTGGGGATTGTCATCAAGCAACGTTAATGTAGTACAATTCACCTGTGAAGTATTTCAGCCTCTGTTCATGCTTCCTTCGCAGAAACTTAAACTGCGTATTTGCATAGCTCATCCCTGCAAGAGATATCCTGATGTATGTATATAATTTACGGCTTCTTATATTATGTATACAGCACCCGTTACGCTGTCATGCTAATAGAGAATATACATTATTACAGTACTCTGGCTATAGGCGAGCCGCGAAATTTCTCCTGTAGTGTACAATAAATCCCGACAATGAGCTCCAATTCTAAAATAATACAAACATACAAATAAAAAACGTCCAAAAGTGGTGTTAATACAAAACTACGAGAACAACGACATGGAATAATGCAACTTGTCTGACGTTGCCATTCTTCTGTTAAATTTCTCAGGTTTTTAATCTAGGTACACAATTCAGTCACATTTTCAATCATGTTTTGTTGTCAGGATATGTACAGGATACAAGGGAGCTTGTTGGAACCATCCTACCATGTGGTGACCGCGATCAAGTTCTCTCTTGAATCAAGTGAAGATGATCTCAAGCTTTGGTGTCTTTCTGACTCAGAAAAGGTCCAGGAAACTGTAAGTATCGCACTAGAACATACGTATGTATGACCGTTATTTCAGTCAATTTTCAAAAGATTTCTTCACAAAATGATAACGGTATCATCCTCTCCTACTAACTAATCTTTGATTAATCACCCCCCCCCCCCCCCCCCCGATATAGATTACTTCACACCATTTATAATAAAAGTCCAATAGTATGAACATCGACTAATTAACATTCTCTGACATTTAATTATCCGCAATTTTGTTTGAAAATGTTTACCAGGTCCCTGTACGTTGTCTACTAAATGGAGATTGCAACACCTTAAACTTCGAGCTGCTGTCTTCAAACGCTGAGGGAGGGGCAAAAAATATCTATCTTCGTATTGAGCAGGGGACATCAACACTCGCAGAGCAACAAATACCCACCTCAATGGAAGGTATGCCAACTCTTCGTAATAAATTAATTCATAGGACTTCAAGTCGCTATTATAGTTGAAGGAATTTCACACGATATTAAGTGAACCTAAAATATCCAGAAAAGGTGGGGGCGGAAGCAATAAGCAAAAGTAACCTACTCCGCTATGTCCACCACTCGAGGGAGACATTTAAACAAAGTCCAGGGTGGTTGAAAATCATGGAGAAAACCTTTATTTTAGCACGTTACGCCCACGATATTCAGCCAATCATCGTAGTCAAAGTGTAGGCTTACATGCAAGGTATAGTAGCCGACCATAAGGTGAACATATATAGTATGAAATGGAGTCTATTTCTACCATGAGTGTGAGTCTTGACGGACCGTGCCTGTAGACACATAGGCCTATCTCCTTATTCTCTGTGTTCAGAATTACGTCATAATGTTCACACGCAATTCGTTGGTTACGGTTAAAGGTAAAGACCAATTTTGGAAACGACCCCTCTCAAAAAATGAAATGGAAGCTCTTATTACCAATCATGTGAAATAATATGTTTTTACTAATACGTGATGGTACAAATTTTGCCGGAAAACCGCCTACTAATTGATATATTTGGTAAATTATTATATCTATCCGGACTGGATAGATATAGGGTAGTCCCATATTCATATTTCTGTGTACAGTGCTTGTAACTTTACCAAGACTGGGTCAAATTTCCTATCATTTTGATGATTCCAGTACCTTGCAGTACACACCAATATTTACATTGTATATGCTAGATGATCAACCTTTTCTGGTCGATTTCACAACGTTTCTTTCACAATGCAATCGCATGACCAGAACTGGTCTATACCTTTAAAGCGTGCAGAAAGTATTTAACGGAATATATTTAGGCTTCAATCGTTCCGTGGTAAATATTATTACACAAGCCAGTAAGCCACATATTTAACATTCAATCCATTATCATATATTTCCCTATCCCTAAACTAAATTTTAAATAAATAAATTAAAGAAAGGTATCAGTGGCAAATTTCATAAACCAAAGTGCAATTGAAGTTTAAATATCATAATTATTTCCTTCCCTTTTTCCTCCAACCAGTTGAGCCAGATTATGGAGACTCCCACACGTAAGTAAATCAATTGTTGGTCCTAATGCATATGACACTGATTATCATTATACCATGCTTATTAGTTTAAGTACTTAATCAAAAATATTCAAAATTATACATGCAAAACCCCATACATTTACATGTCAGTCATTGAATTCACGAAGCAGCACAAACCCTTCCAAGACTTATTCTTTTCGCAGGTATTAGTGGTGAAAATTGGTAAATATTTGGTTGGATAGCATTAATCAAAGCAGGAAAGGATGTCGTCATTTCACTTTTCTACATTGTATTTAATTCTTCTGTCTGTTCTTTTCCTTCGCTTGTCATAACTCTCGCTCTACAGACGCGACCGAATACAGATTGTATCAGACAACACGCTAAAATTCTTGTCTGGTTTAGTCTGTGCAATAAAGGATGCACGTGACCTCGGCTACCAGCTTGGCTTCTCGCATTCAGCGGTAGAGAGATACCTTGACAGAGCAGACTCCTCGGCTAGCAGCGTCTCAAGTTCAGGATTCAAGGAGATGCTTCGTGACTGGAGACGGCGTGTCCGACCGAGTGAGCAGGTTAATAAACTTCGTCTTGCTTTGGAGAAAGCTGGATTAAGTTATACAGCCGAGGTCCTCTTCCACGAAAGTTAGTTTGAACGTACAAACGGCATGTCAACGATCAAATGTAATTACAAACAGACTCAATAGATTGAAACATATATTCTAAGTCTGCATGATTCTCAGCCTGAATCTCGGAAGTCCATTTTTTTCCTCCCTAGCCAATGCTGCTGGGACCAGTCCTCACGTTTTAAAACATAATTTGGTGTTATAAATTATATTCGGACCTCAGTGGTGGAAAAGAATTTTATTTCAATCCAATTTGAAATAGTATAAATCGAAAGAAAAACACAAGTTTTCACTGTCCGTATGCAAATTTGGTTTCGACGCTGTTCTCGGTGACGTCATGGATTCACATGTCTTTGATGACCTTGCATGGTGGATACGTGCGCTATATAAATATCCAATATTATTATTATTATTATTATTATTATTATTATTATTATTATTATTATTATTATTATTTATGACGTACGCGTAAGAGCTTTTCTTTATTTCCTGCTTTTGAACAAAATTTAAGCTTGGACAAAAATGAGTAATCTTTTTAAATATTTATTTAATGCTAAATTTGTTTTTCAATACGTAATGCTGTACAATTACACAGCACTGTATTGAAAAGTCACTTGAGATGTGACTCCATGACGTCATCAAAATGCACGTTCTCGTACATGTACGAGAACTATTAACATTATACTTTGTTGAAAATTCAATATCTAAAGACGGAGTGGTTTACAGATCCAGCTAATGGGTAAAAATTGAAGTCTTATATCATGTATGTAATTAACAGAATTGTGTTGTTTTTCGAGACTGGTCCATTTCAATATTAAAGCATATATTAAAGGAAAATCCAAATTAGTAAACTGAACAAAAAGAAAGCAGAAAAATCAGACTAGTGAAATTTCGAAGGAAATCAGACAATAAAATAAGTAAGTTATGGATATGTTAATGCTACGTTTACACTTTGTTCCCGGCGGCCACGGCAGCCCCGTTTGCCCGAAACGTAGTGTGCCGTGGGATTTTGGCAAGATTTTTCTCTGTGTTCAAGTTTTCTCACGGTCTTTCACGCTATCCGTGACGGGCCGTGCCACAGTGGGCCAGGGAGGAACCAAAGTGCGCCAAAACTCATGTTTAGGGATTTATTTTTTATAAATCCAGAGGAAGTGTTTGGATTTTCAGGGATTTTCGCTTCAATTTTATTTCCAACATTTTCTCTGATGTCTAAGCTTTAAGTTGATACCAGATTTGGCTGCCCGATTCTGCCCGTTATTATGTTAGAGCCGTTTTCCTTGCAACATTGCCCCCAAAAATGTTATTATTTCCTTTGTATGTATACTGTTTATATTATGTTGTTATGATAATCATTAACACATGCTAGTAATTACAGAAGGTATTTCCTTTATTGTAAAGTTGTATGAATACTGTTTAAATTATGTTGTTATGATAATCATAAACATATGATAGTAATTGCAGAAGGTATTTCCTTTATTGTAAAGTTGTATGAATACTGTTTAAATTATGTTGTAATGATAATCATAAACATATGATAGTAATTGCAGAAGGTATTTCCTTTATTGTAAAGTTGTATGAATACTGTT